TGTTCACCAGAGTGCCCCAGGGGAAAACAGGGACCAATGGTCATAAACTCCTCCAAGACCGTTTTAGGCTGGACATAAGAAAACATTTCTTTACTGTCTGAGTCCCCAAGACCTGGAATAGACTCCCTCCAGAAGTGGTGCAGGCACCTACCCTGGACTCATTCAAGAAACGCTTGGATGTTTATCTTGCTGGGATCCTTTGACCCTACCTGACTTCCTGCCCCTGGGGCAGGGGGCTGGACTTGATTTTTAAGGTTCCTTCCAGCCCTAATGTCTATGAAATCTATGAAGTTTCTTTATGGGGCTCTGCCACCCCTTAACACCCACCTGTACCATGTCAGATTTGGCATGCATGGGGTTGACCTGGGGACCGAAAAAGCCCATTGGAGTAAAAGCGGGGGGGGGGGGGCCCGGGGGGGGAAAAGCCCCATCGGCATGCACGGGGTTGACCTGGGGACCGAAAAAGCCCATTGGAGTAAAAGCGGGGGGGGGGGGGCCCGGGGGGGGAAAAGCCCCATCGGCATGCACGGGGTTGACCTGGGGACCGAAAAAGCCCATTGGGATACAAGGGATCCTTTGACCCTACCTGACTTCCTGCCCCTGGGGCAGGGGGCTGGACTTGATTTTTAAGGTTCCTTCCAGCCCTAATGTCTATGAAATCTATGAAGTTTCTTTATGGGGCTCTGCCACCCCTTAACACCCACCTGTACCATGTCAGATTTGCTTGTACAAGTTTCCAGAACTCAAACCCACATCACAATCACAGTCCTTTTCCATAATGACCTAGAGGGTTCTTTTATTAAAAAAAAATACAACAAAAAACACCGCAGACAATTCTTAATTCTATTCTCTTCTGCCCTTTTACTTGCCACGTTATGAAGTAAGATTGTACACAGTTTCCTTCCTAATCCTAGTTTTGAGGAAGAAATCAAAATCTCCAACATTAAACATTTAAAGTAACTACAGGATTAAGTTGCATGTGATGCATCTCAGCTGCATCATATTCTGGTTTTAGCTTTTGACTTTTGAATTTATCAGTCATGTTGGCTAAATGGTGAAAAGTTCTATTGTTTTACTTGTTTCTCTCTCTCATTTTAGCTTTGTGTGGTTCCAATTCCTTGTATTAGATAATAGTGGGTTTCTATTGAGGCTTGTCATCAGTCTCATTTTTTCCAGTCCCTCTGAAATCTCTTTCAGCTTCCTTAAATTTAGTGTCTCTCTTCAGAGTTTCTTGTTTTGTAAAGAGATCAGAAGTCTTTCTGTGCTCAGTGCAAATTTCAGGTTATTAGTTTTGCATGTGTATATATATATATCATGATATAGGAGGCTTCTTGAGGGTCCTCCAAACTCACCAGAAAGAATTGAGTACTGATACACATTTCTTAAAATCATCAACCCTGAGATGTGTTGATTATCGGAGAACTGCTTTCAGCTTCCACAGTATGTTTTAAGATGTTGTTAGGTGTTGACTGACTTTCAAAGTGAGGCTTAAATAATGTGCTGAGTATTCTGTTAATACATTATTTAGAATCATAGACTCATAGAAAACTAGGGTTGGAAGGGTAGTCCAACCCCTTGCTCAAAGCAGGACCAGCCTCAGTTAGATCATCCCAGCCAGGGCTTTGTCTCGCTGGGTCTTACAAATCTCCAAGGATGGAGAGTCCACAACTTCTCTGGGTAACCTGTTCCAGTGTTATAATACCTTCCTAGTGTGAGAATTTTTCCTGATCTCTAACTTACACTTCCCTTACTGCAACTTAAGACCATTGCTCCTTGTTCTGTCATCTGCCACCACTGAGAACAGTCTAGCTTCATCCTCTTTGGAATCACCCTTCAGGTAGTTGAAGGCTGCTGTTAAGTCCCCCATCTTCTCTTTTGCAGACTAAATAAGTCCAGTTCCCTCAGCCTGTTCTCAGAAGTCATGTGCCCCAGCCCCCTCACCATTTTCATTGCCTTCCACTGGACTCTCTCCAGTTTGTCCAGATCTTTTCTGTAGTGGGGAGCCCAAAAACTGGACACAGTACTCCAGATGTAGCTTCATCAATGCCAAATAGAGGGGAATAATCATTTCTCTCTGTCTGCTGGCAGTGCTCCTACTAATTGCAGCCCAGTATGCCATTAGACTTCTTTGCAAGAAGAGTACACTTTTGGGTCATATTTAGCTTACTTTCCACTGTAACCCTCAGGTCCTTGTCTGCAGAGCTGCTTCTTAGCCAGTTGATCTTTAGGCTGTACTGGTATATGGGATTGTTCTATCATAAGTGCAGGACTTTGCACTTGCATTTCATTTTTTTTGCTGTCTACACAAATGGCAGAGACATCTTTGTCATACTCATTTATATTCTTGGCTGTCATCTCTGTCAAACTGGATTGTCTGTGGGGTTTTTTCAGTTGTAGATTAGCAACAGTATATTTTGAAGGTATTTGGGCCTGTATTGGGTAATTGGCATTACTGTAGAGAAGGGCTAGGTAACCCCTGGCACAGGTGCCAGTGTGTGGCATGCAAAAGCATTTTGCTTTGCTCATGAGCCTCAGGGCAGATGGTAGGAAAGGGGCTGGGACTGCGCTGCCACAGTAAGGATCAGGCCGCTCTCAGTTCCCACACCATCTATCCCTGGCACTCCCAACATCTTGCAAGTCAAGGATGCGAGTGTGTTTGGGACTCTTCCCAAAAACTTTGCTGCCCGAGTTGTAGAGTCACTTCTTTTGTTTTATAAACTATTGTGCTTTAATGTAAATATTGTTTTTTCCCCTTTCTTTTTGCAGTTGAATCTAGTAGTGAATCTGATTTCAAATTTTTCTTGAAGAATATGTACAAAAGTAGATGTAATGACTTGATAACAACCTGCCTTTCAGTTCTTTTTATAGCATCAATATAATTTGAAACACACACACACACACACACACACACACACACACACACGCGCGCGCGCATATGTATGTACAGGAAGAAAAATGGAAACTAGTTTTTTTTAATGAAATGGCTGAAGGGTTGCTGGAAGATCTAAAACATAGACTTAAATTAGTTTCATGACACTACAACCAAATGTCTTCAGTGTTCTGCCTTCAGTGGTACATTTGGTCTGGAAGAATGTAGTGAAAACAATTTTTTTAATTTTGAGATTGGCCCGAATCCTCTCTGTCTTGCTAATTATCTACTGATCATAATATTTCATAATATTTTTATTGTACTTCAAAATAATTGTGTATGATATAGTTTCATCAGTTTGTTTGGTTTGTTTGTCAATTATCTACCATTTCAAAATGTTACTTCTCTACTTTTACTGTGCATGTTTAGGAATGGGCATATCACACAGACAGTATTCAGGAAGAATAATAAAACCATAGAAATGTACGATGGAATGGCATGTCAATGTACTCTTATCCTTCCTCCTGCAGTTAGGTAGGTTCGGTATGCCTAAGCCTAGGGACAGATTCAGGATTTTACAATGGTATGGTGACACCCCATCTCCCAGCCTTCTCTCCCCTCTTCCCCATGGGGTGGGCAGACCATGCCATGTGAGGAGCTGTGGGGGACTTCTTTTTAAATCCCAAAGAAAGTAAAAATTCCGCCCCCTCCACAATAATACTTCACCTTTCTCTGCATCATCAGTTCAAGCAAGCCTGCTCTCTAAGCAAGGCTTGGACCTAGCCTGCATGTGCAGAGGTAGAAAGCATCAGAATTGCAAATGATGGGCACAAGTGACAAGCAGGATGATGATGAAGTCTACAGTGATAGGGAAGGGAACTAGTGAGTAGAGCTTGAAGGGGTAAGGGGGATAAGACCTGTATCTTAGCCATTTTGAACTTCAGATGATGACTCAGACTATGATTTAATTTGGGCATAAGGCAGCAGGTCTGGAGTAGAGAAGAACATGTATGAAAGATCAGAGAAATGGTAGATGAATTTGCACTTGCATCCAAGATTACTCAAAGACTGTATAGAGGTAGAAGAAACAGACCAAAGGTAGAGCGTGGTGAGACCTGTGGAGAAAGAAAGAAACTATAAAGAAATACTGGATGAACACTCAGATAGGTCAGAGAAGAGCCAAGAGGATATGGAGACATGAAAGCCAAGGGGGGCTAAGACTCCCAAGAGGAGTGCTGAAAGTGGCTGATGGGGTTAAGAAATATGAGGATGGGACTAGTTGGTCTGAGCTTTGGCGAAGAGTTCATTTGAGGACTGTGTCAAGAGCACTTTCAGTGGACTGCAAGGAGAAGTTTTGCAAATGGAATGCAAACAGAAAAGAGGACTTTTAGAATAGCACATTGAATGACCTTGAAAAGGAGATGGGGTAGGGATGACAGAGGCAAGTGGGGCCAAGAATGGGTGTTTTAAGATGTCAGGGGTTAAAGCAATTTTCATTGTAAGGGGGAAAGAGACAGGAAAATGGGATGTAAGAATGAAGAGAAACTTGATGATTTTATTGCTTTGCTTTTAGCTTTTTAAAAATAACTAGCCTTGTTCATTCATAGTTTAAAATCCGAAGCCTAATGTACTTTATATAAAACTTTCAGATGTTTTCCATGTAAATGTTTTCAAATGACATTTTCAAAAATGTAAAAACAGAAAACCTACTACCACTAATTTACTTGGCTTCTTTGTAGATTTTTTGTTTTTTAACACCCTCAAATGTCTGGTCACTTACATTCATGACAGATCTTGTTTTAGAATTATTTTTAGCAGAAACTGTTTTAAAATGTAAATTAAAATATGTTTTTTCTTGTTAAGTTCTCTGTTGTTAATGCTGTGCTTGCTTTTTCTAAAAAAAAATTAGGAAACCTAAATGTGATTTTTTTTTTTTTTTTTTTTTTTTTTTTTTTAACATGGTCACTTTAGATTCCTTGTGAATTTATTTATTGCAATTGTTTTTGTTTTGGGAGAGAGGTATTAAAATTCCGTTATAAATTATATTTTATCTTACACTTTATATTGTGTCTTGAAGTTTTTGGTAGAGGTAGTTATATTATTTCTTTTTATGTTGTTCTTTATACACTAGATTCACACCTTAGTTGAAAGTTTGAAGCTTTCCATCACTGACCAGCAGCTTCCTATGTTCATACGCATAATGCAGCTTGGGATTGCTCTTTACTATGGAGAAATAGGAAGTTTTAAAGATGGAGAAAATGAAGATTTGGTTTGTCACACTAAAGATATATTGGGAAACATTTCAGGTAATTGTAACCATTTGTTTTGAAAGCTTTTGGTTTATTTTTTGGTCAGTACTAACTCTTTTGGTGTGTTTTGGCAATCTTTATTGTGATACAGCCAACTTATTGTGTGGGGTAAGTTATGCAGTACTCCAACATCTTTTTTTTGTGTTACGTTGAGAAAGCTATATTGATGGCCCTAACAAAACTGGTTAGGGTTTCTAGATAAAGTTTATTTTGGATATTAGGGAGCAATAAGGGAGTTCAGACTTTGTGCAGCAAGGGGCTTGTTAGACAATTCTGTTTTCTCTTTCATTCTACAAAATTGTTAATGAACCCTGATGTGCACATGTTAAAGTATTCTGTAAATAAATATTTTGCATGGTGTTTTCTCTAGTTTCTGTGTTTTTTGCAGTATTCTTTCTGCTGTTGTTTATTTTGTGAGAGAGTGTATTCTATGCTTTCTTATGGTCATTCATTTACTCATTATGATTTGTTGACATAATATATCCTAATTACACCTCTTTGCAAAATAATAAATGATTTTTTAAGTACAACATATAGGTCTAAAAGAAACAGCAGAAAGACAAGACTCAAGTTATTACGTATGTTTGAAATCACGCACTTCTGTTCAGTCACTTAGTCAGAAACTATATGCTACTGAATGCTTAAGTACCAGTCTGACATCTTAGCAGTGTACGGGGGGGGAGAGAAGGTAAAGATGAAGTTTGTACCAAGCTGAATTCTAAATTCTGTTCTTTCTTTTAATTTTATTTTCTCTAGAAATATCTAGATATATCTTGCAATATATCTTTAGTACTAAAATTTTGTGTCTGACACACAGTCAAGAGTACTTCATTAACAGCTTTCAGAAGATTCTTGGAATTTCATGTGAATGTGCTTTGGTAATTTTAGCTTCTGTTGTCTGTTAGAATCATGCAGTAGTTTAAAGCTTTTGGTATGAATGATCAGTAATTCATTTTTTTTTTTCCTGAATGAAAGTATTACTGTGTTAATTTAAGTAGCTTAAAACAAAGATTTTGATGATGTATTATTGTTTGCTGTGTGGTTTCAGGAAAATAATGTATTGTTGGAAAAATGTGGGTAGTGGAAACTTACTTGCCAGAAATATAGCTTTTAATGTTGGTTGGCACAGATAACAATGTCTTATGACAGTTGTACAATTCACTGTCATGTGCCTGCAGTGTGAACTGAGCAAATAAGCCGTCTCTCAGAGTTGAAAGTTAAGGGTCTTACATTTTTTTTTCTAAAGCTGAAATATTAGCCTGCAATTTAAATTCTCTCTTATGAGAAATGCAAAAGGACATATTGTTCAGACTTAATTGAATTAATATTGTAAAAATATTAATTCAGTTAATTTTTGCATATTGTTCAAAGTATAATCTTAGAGATAATCTTGAATACTGCTTAAAATTCTTTTGGAATTCATTTTAGTAGATGAGATGATGGCTCAACAATTACTTGGTTGGAACAACCTTTATCAAGTAAGTGTTCGGGTGAGAAGGGCTGCTTATTCCTTTGAAGCAAGGGTGCTCAACCTCTGGCCCATGGGCCAAATGCAGCCTGTGGAGCTGTTGGGACGTCTGGTCCATGGGACTCGGCATGGGTTGGGAAATTTGGCAGCAGGGGACCTGTAGTAGTTAATACTGTCATCCCTCCCTGCTGCCAAAATTCCAAGCCCCATGGGAGGGCTCAGAGTTGAGCCACTACCCACCCCCGCAACAGCCAGATAGGAGCTGAGCCATGTCCCCTTCCCTCAGCACAGTCAGGTTGGAGCCAGACTGTGTCCCCTCCTCTGCCTGGCTCCCTCTATGGCTGGTTTGTGGCTGAGCCATGCTCCCCATCCCCCACCCCTTGACACAGGGCTGGCCAATGACCCCTTCCTTCTGCCTGGCCAGGTTGGGCCCGGGCCATGCCCCCTTCTTCACGCAGGGTTGGATCAGAGCCAGATCATGGCCCCTCCCCTCTGTGGGGCCCAGTTGGGGTCGGGGTCAGTCCCCTTCTGCTGTGTGGTTGGATCAGAGTTGGGCTTCTTGCCTCCCCTTTCCCCACTTCTCTGCACAGCCTGATGGGGCCCCACCGGATCTGGTTCACAGAGGGTTCAGGCACTGGCCATTTAGCCTGCTAGCCACCACTGCTCTGAAGCAGTTGGAGATGGAAGAACTATTTGAGCTTCTTTTTATATAAAGTAGGCAAACTCAGAATATAGATAGGTGTAGCAATTGTATCAGTATTAAATGATACTGATAACTGTCATGATGTAGCTGTTATGTCCACATGCTTCTGTAGAACTGCAAATGTACCTTGCAATTTTAACACTTTCAGTATTAAAATTACCATGATTTAAAGCAGTTAGAAAGTGTCCACAGCCTTGGTCTCTTTTCCCTTTTTCTCCTATACTTTGTATTTTGTGGCTGCTTTATGTGATAAACCTAGTGTGGCCCAAAGTGATTTCCTTGAGCATGTTGTGCTGGTCTGCAAGGATGGAGAATTGGAGACAGGTCGGGGAACAGGGGCACAGACAAGGTGGAAAGGGTCGGTCTTGGAGTAAATAGTCAGAAGGGTCTGTGCCCCTTAGAACTCTCACTTCCAGAGTCTGGAATGAAACACATGATTCTTGAATCTTTTCAATTGTCTTTCAGATACAAGTGAAACATACTGTCATTATGTTTTTCATCCTTCTTTCTCATACTGGCCCCCATAGAGGATGACAACCTACCATATTTTCTCACATGCAACACACCCTGGAATAAATTATGCCCTTTGTTTTTGGAAAGGTAGAATTTTTCTAGAGTTATGGCTGCATGCAGCAAGGACAGAGCTAAAAGGTCTGCAAAGCTATGAAATAGGCAAAGAGAGATGAGAAATGGCTGTCAGACAGCAGAATCGCTAGAAGAAAGGTAGGTTGATTAGTGGAACATCAAGACCATTTAAAAGGAGATTCATTGTTGACCCTGGGGCCAGAACAATGAAGCATTGAGCCGGTTGATTCCCTCAGCTGCCTGAAAAGAAATATATTGCTGCTGTTGGGCAGTTGGTTTGGAGCAGGAATCAAAGTGGGGTGCAGAAAATCAGCTTTCTCACTTAAGCCACACACCCCAATTTTGGGAGGCTGATTATTGGGGAAAAATTGTGAGAGTATGTGAGTATGTGAGGAAGTATGGTATTATTGCTGTCAGTTATTTTACAGATGGGAAACCAAAACACAAAAAGTAAGGTAAAGAGTATGGATATTAAGACATTATTTTTAGAACACTTTGCATTGTGGTATGCATGAATTTTGTATGTTCACAGTACAGGTATAATTGATTTTGTTTGCAGCTGTGGCTGTTCAACCTTTGTAAGTCATACCCCAGGGTCTCAAGACAGGCATTTGGAAAAAGCAGAACATGCAGTTAGAAGCTACATGAAAAACATTTGATTTTAATTGCATAGCATCTCTTAGATAGAAACTGCCTCTGTGGCATTGGCAAAGATACAGTCCAACTCCCCATGTCACCCAATCAAGAGCCTCAACTGTGAGACCATCCTTCCTCCTCCTGCCTCATTCACTACATTTCTTCCAACTTTTGCAACAAATTATGCATGGATTCTACAGACAGATGTCTCCTTTACCTTGATTCATCCCAGAGGACATTCAGCACATGCAGTAAATGAAGCTGGTGTCCTGTTGGAAAAATAGAACATGATATTTGTCATTAAAGACTATATCATATATCATAATTAATATGCACAAGGATGCTGAATTAAGAGTACACAGGCAACCTTAATTTTGAAGGCAATTTGGTATTTTATAATTGTTGAGTCTTTCACCTGGCTACATTCATATTCTTTTGATGTACATTTGTGGATATGTGTAATATGGTGTATACATTTTTTTGGTCTGGAAGCTAATGTTTTGGAAAGCTGTTCCTGGGATGAATGTTTAGGACTTGCCTGCCTTCAGTTTGTATGGATAAGAAAGTATCCTCAAGGTACTCTTGGAAGTATAGGTTCCTTGAAACAGTTCCCCGGAAAAAAACCAGAGTTTTCCACCTTCTTGTATTCATATACCCAGGGAACTTTCTGGCTTGGAATATGTGGCGGTGTAAATTTAACTTGGTTGGCTTGATCACAAAAGAGAGCAAGTAATTAATATGAAGAGGCAAAACTGAATGTGCTGAAACCCTAGAATTTTAAATCTGTTTTGGGCTCTGGAGGTGGGCTCCTTGCCCAAGACATAGTTTGAAAAATTATTGCAATCAGATAACATTTTAATGCCAGAGACATCAGGATCTGCTTAAAGTTTTCCTTCATCTTGGTCTTTTTGGGCTTCAGGATTTATTTGCTTTTACATAGTGGATTCGGACACTTGCTATAATCATCCTCAGTCCAAAGCGTGTTGCTCAAAAAGCTTTGGCACTTTTATCCAACATACCAGTGGGCTGAATTAGTTTTGCACCAAGATGTTTCACATTAAATAAATCTATTTGTTATCAAGGTTTTTTGATCTTGCAAGTGACCTCCTAGGCCACTGAGTACAGTTTGCAAGTGACCTCCTAGGCCACTGAATAGTTTCCTGCATTTGCAGGAAATCATTAACCAAAAGAATCTTTAAAAATTGGCCTCACAGACCCTCACCCACATTTACAAGGAACGTTATCCATAATGCTTAGAGAACACCCCATAACATGTCATAGGCAGAAGCAGGAGAAATGAGAGCATAGCCAGTGCCTTGTCACTACAATGATTTGGGAGCAGTTGGATGGAAGTAGCAAGACCTTCATCCAGGAACCAGTACAACCATAAACGTCAACGTACCCTAGCTAAAATTCCCCAGTCTTAGCTGTGGACAAAATCCTAATTCATCAGGAGAAAGTGAAAAAGGTTTTTAGAACCCAGCAGCGTACATGCAGGGGGAAAAAAAATCTTTCCTGCCTCAACTGGTGACCAGCAAAAACAATAAGGCATGGGATTACCAGATGCTTTTCTACCCCAACCTATGAACTGTAGACATGTAACTT